CATAATTTATTTTCTTAAATAGGTACGCGGGTGTAGAAATGTTGGTTGCACTCTTAATTGGACCAGAAAACTATGTCTTCATGAGTACCAGCTTTTCCTAAATTTCCCGGCAAGGGCTCCACTTTGCATTTCCCGGACTCTAAGGCAGGGTGCCCCTACAGATCACGCTGAGCCTGGATACTGGCACCTGGGCCAGCGGCAGCTGCCAATCTTTCTCTTATTCCTGGATGCAATGCGCTGGGACGGGGAGCCTAAGCCATTATCTCCGACCCATGGCATGTGCAAACAGATGGCTTGAGAGGAAGAGCACAGACCCAAGCCATCAAACCCAGGTCAGACCTCGACTCTGCCCCCAAACTAGTTGTGTGACCTAGGGCAGATCATGTCACCTCTCTGGGCCTTAGACTCTCCATGTGAAAAATTAGATGTTTGGGCAATAATATTTTTGTTGCCTGCATGTCCCCAGGATTCCGTGCTTTTGAGATGCACCTCCCCCATTACCAAATGGGAGAGCCCTAGTGTTAGCAAAGCACCAGACTCACCTGCTGGGAACAGAGCTGGTTGGGAGGGTGTGTGGGTGTAAGCTGTAGGGACCAGAGAGCAAAGAGCACAGGCTTTTGAATTAGGCAAAGATGGATTTACCCTGGATTCTCCACTTATCAGCTCCGTGACCTGGCTCAGCCTTTCGGGGCCTCAGTTTTCTCATCTGTAAAATGGGAGTGATGATAACAACCTGACAGGGCTGTTGCACAAATTAGTGACAGCAAATATAAAGTGAATGGCAGTCCAGGGAGAGCAGCAGAGCCAGTTGGTGACTTAAGACCTACTCGAAGAGCTACTGGAAGGCAGCGAGACCCTCTCCCTGTCCCCACATACAATGCTCTTTGACTTAGAATGGGTCAGTTTCAGATTGGGGGTGTCTATCCACTGTACCCATAACTGGATGCAATTTGGTTGTTGGGATTTCAATATAGATTTTCAAAATGAGTTGTAAGCATCAATGCATCTCCCTCCTACAGAACTCCATGGTCCCCAGATCTCATTGGTCACCCTGGGCTTCTAGCAACAGACTTAACATTATTAAGGAATTAGAGGCCCAGTGCAGGAAATTGGTGCACTGGTAGGGTCCCTAGGCCCTGCTGGCCATCAGGGCCGATCGGGGCCTTCTGGCTCCCAACCAGGGCCTTCCTTCGTTCCATGCCACCCCCTGGTGGTCAGCGCATGTCACACCGAGCGAGCGAACTCTGGTCTCCCAGTCTAACTCCCAAGGGGACACTTTGCATATTAGCCTTTTATATACATAGATAAGCCATCAGTGGCACCCAGTGGTTTTCATCCCCTCTAACTACTTCAAGAGGAGCTTGCTACTGTGGAGACATAAGCACACAGGACAATCCCCTCATTCTTTACTTCATCTCTTACCTTCCCCCATCACCCAAAAAAGGTATCTGTCTTCTGCTGCGAAGGAGAAACAGTAACTCCACCCACCACCCCGAGTATGGGTTCATAACTAGTAAAGATATCTCTTGTGTAATCTTCCAAACAAATCTACTTTCATTCTCTCATTTAGGCCCTACACCCACACGGCAAGATCATTGTGCCCAATTTGCAGATGAGGAAAAGCAGAGGCTCAGGGATTGTCCATTTCTTCTTTCAACTTCATGGGGCCATTCGTCTCTAAATTGTCACGCGCCCTGCAAAATGTTAGCATTGGAGATGATAGTCGTGGCCCCTTTTTAATCTCAGGATCCCCCCATCCCTCCTAGACATCCAGGTTGGAAACATGCACCATGAATTCTTACCAATCTATCCAACTAAGAGCAATTCTAGACTCTTAGCAGCCCTGCAAACCCGAACCCGCCAGCCACGACTGATCTGTCAGCAACCCGGGGCGCAGAGATGGGCCCGGGAGATTGGCAGGTCTGAAGAAGCAGTGAGCTCACCCAACTGACAGTCTGGACTTAAATAAATTGTGGGTCTTGGCTGGGGGTGATAAGGCATAAATTCCAAGCGTGTGTTATTCTTACACATCATTATGCCCTGAGATGGGGAAGAGAGCTGCATCGTGTCCCAAGTTTATAGCAAAACTGCACTGTGCGTAAATAGCCTTCGGGCCTTTGATGTTGAGCAGAGAGGAAAATAATCCTCTCAGAAAAGCCGGGTGGAACAGAGGGCTCAGCGGGCGGGCAGGGGGGCCAGATGAGGGTGCCCTGCTGGGTCTGAGCCCCTTCTCCTGCCCCTACCAAGGTAAACTGTCTTTAGTTCCTGAAAGGATCATTTCCTCTAACACCTTCACAGAAAAGCACAAGGAAAATACTTCAGTAAAATTAAGTGGGAAGCTGAGAAGGCCAGAGCAGAGGAAGGGAGAGGAGGTGTCAGCCTGAGCTCCCGCCAGAACCAGGCCGGCCAGCTGGCCAGCACCAAAGGGCGCCTCCCAGAGGTGGGCAAGAGGATGGGGCGTAGCAGCACCTTGGAGCCCATTCATTCGTTCATGTGACAAAACAGACACAGTCCCCGCTCTCTAGGAGCTTACAGTTCAGTGTAAGACACGTCCAACTAATAATCAGTTGCGTACTTTGATATGTTACTCTAAAGGGAAAAAGCAGGGGTGCGAGGTCGTATACAAGGAGCCCAGTTTAAATGGAGGCTGGGAGCAGGGGCTGGGTGCCTCTGGGGATGTGGCATTTAATCCAAGGCTTGACACAAGTTGGCCAGGCAAAGGGTGTGGGGAGAACACTCTAGGCAGAAGAGACAGTATATAGGAAGGGCCCGTGGGGGGTGAGCTGGCTGCACATCCCAGGAGCTGAAGAGGCCCATGTGTGTGACACGTGAGAGAGGAGAGAGAGGGAGCCCCTGCTGAGCCCTGGGAGGCCCAGTGAGGATTTGGGCCTTTATCTTAAATGCACCAGGAAGCCACCGAAAGGTGTTAGGCCTCTTTATGGCGGTCCTGACTTGATAAGGAATTTGGCTGTTGTAGATTGTCCCGGCCATCTCTCAGACATGGCTGCGGTCACCCTCGAGCTCCCTGCCCTGCCACTCTGGTTGCCACCATCCCTCACCAGGCTGTCTTCTGCGTCAGTCCACACCTGGCAACTTTGTGCATTTGCCCCAGCACCCACCCCCAGGAGCAGGGAGCAAGAAAGATGGGACTGACACTGAGGCACCTGCAGGAGCTACCACCTGGGCCCAGGATGAGTGCCAGGCCTGGAAAGGGGCACCAAGGACCTGTCTGCTCCCTCCTCTGCTGGGAAAGACTGATTCATGAGGCGCTGATGCTGCCAGCCCAGTGCCCAGCACAGAGCAGGCACTCAGGCAGTGATCCACTGAAGGTAGCAATGCCCCAGATCCTCCATCTCCTCTTGCAAGTGGGGAAACTGAGGGAGGCTGGTATAAAGGCAGGAGCGGGTTGAACTAGGAGTCTGTGTCCCAGATGGATACGTCCTTGCTGCATAGCCTTGGGCAGGTCACTCTGTCTCTCCCAGGCCTCTATTTCCTTACCTGTGAAGTCAGGCGGGTGGGCGAGATCATCTCTGAGTCCCCTTTTAGCTCTCATACCTTGTCCTCACCCTCGGAAGCTCAAAGAGGGTCGATTCCTTTATCAGTGCCATGCAGCATGTCTGTGGCAGGGCCGGGAGCACAGGTGACTCCAGGAGTAGACAGCATATTCTAACCCAGCCCGGTATTCTGAAGTTCAAGTGGCAGATGGCGGGGGAGTGGGGGCTAGGATTTCCAGTGATCTGGTGCTAAGCTGCAGTGTACTTCTACTTACAAATCCCATTAGATAGACAGGAAAATTCGTATTATGAACAGTTTTGGAACCAAAGAGGTTATTGGTGGGTCTACAAAGGAAACCTCTGTTGGCGCACCCCCGATGTCACTCTGAATGTGTTCAACCCGGCGGTGGGCGTGCTCACTGTAAAACGCTCTCGTCCATTCATCATAGCGATCCCTAAGAGCATCTCTCTGGGGGACAAGTTCATTAGCCAAGTTCAGTGGCTACATACAGTAATGATGATAAAGCTCAGCTCTTTGAAAAATCATGTTCCGGCTGTCTCCACCACGGAGCCGAGAGAGTAGGGCCTGTCTGTTTTGAAATAGTTCACCTGCCAGGGAGGGACTCGGAGCCATTTCGTACAGCGGAGGAACATGAGGAATCTGTCGTTTCGCTGACCCTTCCTATAGACCAGGGGTCCTCAAACTACGGCCCGCGGGCCACATGCAAGTACAAATATTGTATTTGTTCCCGTTTTGTTTTTTTACTTCAAAATAAGATATGTGCAGTGTGCATAGGAATTTGTTCATAGTTTTTTTTTTAAACTATAGTCCGGCCCTCCAACGGTCTGAGGGACAGTGAACTGGCCCCCTGTTTAAAAAGTTTGAGGACCCCTGCTAGACTGTGAAGGCGGGTGGTAGGGCTTGTGCTTCTTTGCCATCCCCAAATCCTTGCTCATAGTAGGGCCACATGCATGTGACAGAAAAAACTAGGCCAAAAGGAAGAGGATATGACCCCTTGGCAGGTAGTGGTGCTGTTTCTGGGAATAAGAATGCGGGGGAACCATGGCTGTGCGGGGGAGCCTGAGGAAGATTTGTTCCCACTGGGACCTGTGAGTGTCCAGGGTCTGTGGTCCCCCGGAGGGCATGCTTATTAGGCAGTGGGATCAGTGTGTCTGGAGCCCAGGAAAGCTCTCAGGGCCAGAGGTGCGGACTGGGAGGTTAAGAGCTGACCAACATGTGGACAGAAGGACCATTCAGAGGGAGAAGAGAGCAGATCCCATTGCCACACACCCAGAGGGTATCCAGCTTTGTTCTTTCATGCCAGAATCCCATGTGGCAAAAGTGAGGCCATTAGTCAAGGCGAGGAATCCTTGGTCCCTGACGGGTTGATTGTGATGGGCTGTGGGGACTCTGTCCTGTTGTTGGATTTCTGGGGTCTCACCTGTCTCTGGAGCCCAGTCTGAAGTCACCCATGTGCTTCTCTCTCTCTCTCTTCTCTCCTTCAGGTGTTTACAAAATATGGGAAGTGTTACATGTTTAACTCAGGCGAGGATGGCAAACCTCTGCTCACCACGGTCAAGGGGGGGACAGGCAACGGGCTGGAGATCATGCTGGACATTCAGCAAGATGAGTACCTGCCCATCTGGGGAGAGACAGGTGAGCTGGGCACATGGACCTGGGCCGTGGGGGATGGCGGAGGGGAGCAGGACTTTGAAAGACTGGTTTGCTTCAGGTGGGCTGTCTCGGCCCACCTATGAGGGACTGATCTCTGCCAAGGGGTTGGTGGCATGCCGGTGAGTGGTAGGGGTGCCCCTGGCATGGGCTGGGATGAGTTTCTTTGGATCTCACCAGATGGGAGAGGGGTAGATGATGGGAGTGTTGGGAAGCTGGTAGAGTGAGAAGTGGTGTTGGGAGGGGGCATGGAGGAAAGTTTGAGTCAACAAGTGTGATTGGGAGGTGACTGGCTTGATTTCAGGAAGAGGAAGGGATAGAGCAGCCCCTCCTTCTCCCAGTCATATTGGAATTCCCGACCCAGCCAGGAGGCCCAATGGGAAAGAAAGCAGACTTCTTTCTCTGGAGGAAGGTAGAGGGGCTGTGCAGTGTTGGACATCCAAAGGTTAGGGACTCAGGGGCCCGGCACCACACCTGTGGGAACCCCTGGGGGCCTGTGTGTGTGTATACGTTTCAAAGCTTTATTCATTTATTTATTCAACAAATGATTCATTTACCATATATACTACCTCAGGCTCTGCACCAAAGTCAGGACATTAAGGTATAAAGACTGACTCCTTGATCACAAACTGGAAGAGGAGACACACTATTGTAGTCCATTGTGACCCCAGTATTGCTGGTGCTGTGGCCTCCACCTGGACGGGGGAGGTGGGAGGGTTGGGGGAGAAGAGGAAGGTTCAGGGAAAGCATCCTAGTGCATGCAGCATCTGAACGGGGTCTTGGGATTGTCCTGCGTTCTCATAAGAGGGGTGTAGACAGAGGAGAGGGCGATGCGAAGGCAGAAGCAGAGATGGAGTGATGCAGCCAGTAGCCCAGGGATGCTGGCCTCACCTGGAATTCCACCAGGTGGAGAAAGTAAAGAGGTGCCCAGGAGTGGGACTGTGGATGCAAGAGACCCAAATAAGACTGATGCCGTGTTCAGGGCATAAAGGTTAGGGGTGGGGAAGGGGCTCACGGGATGGGCCTGAGGAGGGGCCACAGGGAAGGTGGAGGGGAGAGAAGCCTCCAGCAGGAGGAAGGCCTGGACCCTCAGGTTGGAGCTGAGGAGTAGGGGGGAGCATGGAGGCCAAGCAGCCCAGGCCTCACTTCCCGCAGCCCCCAACCTGTGTTCCTGCAGCCGATCCTTCCCATTGTGAGGCCCAGCCCTCGCCATGCCCGGGCCTTCCAGGCTTCTGAGGCAGCAAAGGCTCCCACCCCAGGGCTCACTGGCCGCAAGCGCTGAGCTCTCTCCCCACCACCATGCTCTCCCTTCCTCTCGACATCCTCGCTTGAGCCTGCTGGGGAGAGCTGAGTGTGACCACTCACCTCACACTGGTTAGTTCTCCCACTGAAAGGTACAATGGCCACCACACGCGTCATTCCAGTAACGCCTCCTGGCAGCTCCCCCTGCTCCAGGCCTCCAAACCCCACCTGCTGTTGCTCAGGGGCACTTAGTCGATACCGCCCACTCTTCTACATGCAGTGCCCCTCCCCTCCGGCAGGGGGATGAAAGTCTGTGTTCCCACTAAGTTCTGACTGCCGACCAGCGGAGCCCGGCTCTCCAGAACATCCCGGAGGCCAGCCTGCGTCTGAGAGCCCTGGGTCCTGGGAGCTGGATCCTGGTCCAGAGAGAGACCCTGCCTTGTAAATACCAGAACATATTTGCTTATTGAATTTCCTGTGGAAAGGGAGAGAGATGAGGCCATAAAAGTGAGTCCTGCTCCCAAGGTTGGTGACATGGCCAGGCCTAGCCCACCTTGGACACAGGAGACAGGCCCCGTCCTGCCCGCCAGGCTGCATAGCCCCACAGATGATATCTTGGTTCTTTGGCATTCCTACCTCCTCGCAATCCCCGGAGAAAGGAGCCTAAGTCCTCACAGGAGATATTGGGGTGGTGGTAGAGAAGAAATTATTGGAAATATGTCTATGGAGGGAGTGACCACATAGGGCTTGGTGACCGAGGCAGTGTCGTGGGTCGGGAAAGTAGCATCAGAGAGACAGACCGGGGATCCACCTGCAGCTCTCCCGTTGCTCTCGGTGTGGCTGAGGATGCGGGAATGAGCCTCAGTTGTCTCATCCATAAAGTAGAGATCAATAAAGCAAACAGAACCCGTCCCCTTGACAAGATGGCTGAAGGACCAAATGCGAGCTCTCGGCCACGTGTGAACAGGAGAAGCATGATCATGACGACCCGTAGCTGGGGGGACAGTCACACAGCCCCAGAGGCAGAGAGCATCGCCAATGTCTCGCAGCTGTAACGGGGGGCCTAAACCACCTCAACATCTGGGCGTCATCTGCTCAAAGCAGTCTCTGCTAATTCTCGCCTTGCCTCGTGGACAGCTTCATCTCTCCGCAATTTAAGGAGGCAGTGGGGGAACCACCCCTCTGGGTGTAATCCTGACATAGAAGGGACCTTGGGCACCCATAGGTAGATTAGGAAAAGGCACCCTCATGGGGTTGACCCAGCCCAATGGGCTCATGCTTAGCGAATAGAGAGAGCGACTATGAAAATTATCAAAAGTGTCCTTTTCTCTGGACTGACAGCATCCGGCACTAGGATGCCCCTTGGCCAAACCTCCTTGTGCAGGGCACCCTGGGAATATGCCCTTTTAAAGAAGGCAGGCTCGGTCACACTCGGGCCTAGTCAGGGTGCCCCCAGGCGGGCCCTGTGGGATGGCAGGCCTTTGGGATAGTACGTGCTCCGAGAATGAAAAAGCCCTGGGAAACTCTGGTCAGACAAGGTAAACACGGGTATGCGTCGCAGGAAGGCTTTCACACGCTCCCATGACTCCTCCAAGATAGCAGGATTGCACGCCGCACTGATTTCCCAGATGCCTTTGAGCGAAAACCTCTTTTCTCGTGGAGGAGCTCACAGAATAGAAAAAGGACCGAAAAGCTGTCCTAGACTGTGGACATGTGGCTTTCATGGCCAGCATTTCCTAAAGGAAATTAAACCGAAGGCAGGTGGGAGGTTGTTAAAAGTGAAACTCTGTGTGGATGCCTCGGAGAAACTTCAAAGACCCTTCGGCAGTGGGTTGTCTAGGATGCGCATGAGAGAAACCAGATTCAAACGAGCTTAGGCATAAAAGGAATTGTGTTGCCCCAGAATCCAAGGCAAACTTCAACAACCAAACAGCGGGAGGGCAAGGAGGCAAATTCTGAAACAACTGGAAACGGAGGGCTCAGGCCCCCTCCCATCTCTCCCTCCTTCTCTGGCCTCTCCTCTCTCTGAATCCCTTCATTTCTCTCTCACCAGAGACAGGCTTTTTTCACACATTTTTTTTTTCACACGTGGTTCCCAGTAGTTTTACATTTTACACACCCTACCACCAGCAAGAGACTGTTCTGAGTCTCTCTCTGAACAAACAAACAAACAAACAAACAAACAGGGGAGGGGATCATTGGCCCAGCTCAGTCTGATGCCCGCCCCTGGACCAATCAGTGACCAGGCAGTGAGTTCATGGAAGGACATTGGAGCCCTAAGGAAGCTGAGGAGATGGTAGCTGGAAGGAGTTTCCAAGAGATAGTCTCACGAATGGCCATGCTGGGGGAGGTAAGAATTGGGGTGAGGGTGAGGGTGAGGGTGAGGGTGGGAGGGGTTACACCTGAGGAAACTAGAATCGGTGTACAGGGAGCTCTATTTTTTTTAATAGACTTCTTTTTTTTTCTTTGTTTAATTAATTTTTAGAGAGAAAGAAACATTGATTTGTAGTTTTACTAATTTATGCATTCATTGGTTGATTCTTGTATGTGTTCCTGACCAGGGATTGAACCCGAAACCTTGGTGTATCTTCCTGGTGCTCTAACCAATTGAGTTACCTGCCCAGGTCCTGTACAGGGAGCTCTTTAGTGAACTCAATTTCTGGATAGATAGGCTCCAATAGGGCCCCTCCCTTTCTCATCTCCCTCTATCCTTCATTCACCCCTTGGCAAAATATATTTTTATCAAATATTATCTCCTTGTTTTCTCCAAATCCTAGTATTGTAGAAAAATTTGCTATTATATGTTTGAACAAAGGTGTGACTTTTGAGAGTCTATGCTCTAACAGAAGTATATATCCGCCCCCTTATTATTCTCCTCTGCCTCATCACCTCCTATTTCGTCCCCTTGTTCACTTGGGTCTAGCCACCCTGGCTTCCCTGTGGCTTCTGGGACATTCCAGGAACGCTGTCACTTTAAGACATCTGCATTCTCCATTCCTTCCACCTAGAATTCTCTTCACTCAGACCCATGTGGCTAATTGCCTCATCTCCATCAAGTCTTTGCTCCTTGAGGCCTACCTTGACCGCCTTATTTAAAATTGCACTCCACCCCACTACTCACCTCTCTTCATCTGTTCTATGGCATGTGTCACCTTCAAGTATACCATATGATTTACTTATTTTCTCTTGTCTCTCCCCTTTTACTAAAACATATGCTCTAGAAGTTAGGTATCTTGGATGTCTGGCTCTCTTACATACACCAAGTTAATAAATATATATTTTGTTGAGAGAGAAAAAGATTTCTATGCACACTGATGGGGCCAGGATGAGGGAGACACTAACTTTAATGAGGAGCTACTGTGTGCCATGAATATTCTGTCCCATGAATCCTCCCAATTACCCTGCTGTCAAAGGTTATAATCCCTTGAAAGACAGAGAAACTGGAGCCCAGAGAGGTTGCATAAGCTTTCTAAGAACACACACCTCGTTAAGTAGTGGAACCAAGCGGAAAATCCACTTGGGAACCCAAAGGCAATTCTCCTCTCACTACATTCCTTTCATGTTCAAAATGTGATTGTAAAGGCACTCCCGTGAAAGTAGCTCAGGGGAAGAAAAGGTTCAGTGACACCTCTGAAGAGAGAATGGCCCGTAATGATAGGCCTGTTGATGTTCTTTTCTTATTTTGTTCTGTGTTTTGTTTTTGCTTTTTGCAATAGCAGAATCCTTGTGTTGAACAAACGCTT